TCGCGTGCATACCCTCAAGTTCTCGCTGCTGGTGACCGGCAAGATCGTGGACCATGTGAACGGCACCTTTAGTGTGTACTTCCGCCACAATTCGTCCAGCTTGGGTAACCTGAGTGTGAGCATCGTGCCGCCCTCCAAGCGCGTGGAGTTCGGGGGCGTCTGGCTGCCTGGGCCTGCCCCCCATCCTCTGCAGTCTACGCTGGCGCTGGAAGGGGTGCTTCCTGGACTGGGGCCCCCTCTGGGGATGACGGGGCAGGGGCTGGGGGGCAACCTTGGGAGCGCACTGGCCGGCCCACTCGGAGGCGCGCTGGGAGTGCCGGGGGCCAAGGAGTCACGCGCTTTCAATTGCCACGTGGAATACGAGAAGACAAACCGCGCTCGCAAGCACCGCCCGTGCCTGTACGACCCGTCGCAGGTGTGCTTCACCGAGCACACGCAAAGCCAGGCCGCCTGGCTCTGTGCCAAGCCCTTCAAAGTCATCTGCATCTTCGTCTCCTTCCTCAGTTTTGACTACAAACTGGTGCAGAAGGTGTGCCCAGACTATAACTTCCAGAGTGAGCACCCCTACTTTGGGTAGCGCCCCTGTCCCGGGCCTTGAGCTTCCCACTAGATCGCAGCCACGCTAGGTGGGACCCTTCCCTCTACCCCATGCTCCTGTGACTGCCCCCCCCCCCGACTTCTTCCACTGTGGGTCGGGTGGAGGAAAACAACCTTCCCCCGGGACTATCAGCCAGCGTGGTTCTCCATTTCCTTTTGGCCCTGAGTGTCCCCGAGGCTGGCTGGGGTAGTCTCAAACGGTAAATTGGAGGGGCAAGAGCACAGCCCCAGAGTGGGCGGGCTTGGAGGCTTTCCTTAGGGTTCCCCACGAAAACGTATTGGTTCCCCTTTTGCCCATCCCGCAGCTTTAATGACGCCTGGCCTGGCCCTCTTTCTTACCCCAAGCGCTGGTCCTGCCCACCCCGCAAGACTGTAAAAGTCTACAAGCCCCAGCCCACCTCGCCCCTTCCCTTTTGGCGTGCCCTGCGTCAGTCCTCTGTCCTGCCAACCTTACTGAAGCAAAAGTCCTGAGCAGGGGGCTCTGGCCGCCCCCTGTGTTCTGCCCCTTCCCCCCCTTCCCTCGCCCGCCCGCCTGCAGTCCGGCTCCACCTGCCCTCTCTGGCTGCTCGGTGACTTTTTTTTCTACGCCAAAACAGACGGGAAAGGGAACAAAATAAAGCGAAATCCAATACTAGCCTGTGTGAGACCTTTGTAGAAAAGGGGGCCCGGGCAGGTGTGGGTTTTTGTCTGGCAGAGGCTGAGCCCAGGCCTCCTTCCTTGGCTGCTGTTGGGGAAACCGAGGCAAAGACTGACAGACTTAGCACTTTGTGACTATTTGAGACCTCATCAAGGAGTGATCGATCGACCAACGGGTGAAAGTCAGCCCAGGTGGGGCTTATCATTCACTCTAAGGAGAGTGAGTGGTAGTGGAGGCAGATAGAGTGGGGATTAAACCAAAGTGGGACTTCCGGCGGTGTATTTGGGAGACCTAGGGGGAAGGAGAAGCAGGGACAGTGTAGGCCGAGCGCGGAAAACCGACTAAGCTCCAGTGGCTGGAGGGAAGCGGCAGGTTGGGAGGGAAGGGGGACGGTGTTTGCGGCATCTGGAGTCATCGATCTTCCTTTTCCTTCCTAATTTCGTGGGCGCTGAGTGTGCAGACGGATGAGGGAGGGAGGAGAGCTTTGGGATGAGGTGATGGGGGAAGGGACGAGTGCAGGTTTGCAGGGCGGGGCAGAGCCGCTGCTGGTAGCCGCTAGCAAACAGCCCCCTTCAGCCAGCTGCCCACCTCTCCACCTCCGCCTTCGGCTCCCTCCTGCAGCCTTGGCTGCTAATTTTATCCGCCCCCAACCCTGGCCCGGGCGTTAATTGGCTGCAGCTTCATTAGCAGTTCTCAGCTTAGCAGCCCCCCTCCCCTGGGGACCCCTGACTCGGGCTTGGGGTGGGGGTGCAGACAAGCTGAGGCATAGTCTCTCTTCCTCTTCAGCCAGACTTCACTGGAGTCCCCGGTAAAGGTGCCCACAGAGAAGAGAGCAGTGCCCTCCACAGGATGACCCACAGCTCAGTCAGATACTGAATATAGAGGCGGTTCTGACCCCGACATGCCTGAGAGTGAAAAAAATCATGGGCAGAAAATAAATACAGGGAGCTGGGGATGTAGCTCTTACCCAGCATGCACAAGGCCCTGGGTTCACTACACAAGCAAATGAAGGAAGGATAAGTGGTTGGGGTGGGAGGAGAAGGAAGATGGGAGTGGTTTTACCTATTCAGGGCCTGCGGCGGGAATCACCTGAGAGAATTGAAGCTATGGAGAGACAGCAGTCAGCTCTGAAAGATACTGAGCCCTCCTGTGAGACCCAGGTGGGAACGAACACCTAGGGTGTCGATGGCCGGGAACCAGCAGGCTTGGGCCTCAGACTCCTCGCCTGCAACTCCACAATAAAATAGCATATGTTAGTATGTGAGACTCTAGATTCTGTCTGTCGCACTAAGAGGAAAACAAAACAAAACCAAGCTCACAGTGGTGATTGTGAGTCCTTCCTTTCATGGTCCTCTTTCTGTCACTCACAAACATTCCTCCTCCAAGGCTCTGTCCTCCCACACTCTGTACATGTGAGAACAAAGTGAGGTGTTGGAAGTTGTCACTGTTTACCTCTTCCCATCAATCGGTGAGCCCTGTCTCTCCGGGGCTGAGGCATGCCTCGCATGGCTCAGTGTCTATAAAATGGCAGTGTAGGGCAGTGAGTCCCCAAGAACTGTTTGGCTGTGCATCTTTGATTACTGTCTTTAAGAGCCATTGAACTAGAGGTTTTTTTTTTAAGATTTATTTATTGTGTGTACAGTGTTTGGCACCAAATCTCATTACAGATAGTTGTGAACCACCGTGTGGTTGCTGGGAATTGAACTCAGGACCTTTGGAACAGCAAGCAGTGCTCTTAACCACTGAGCCATCTCTCCAGCCGGAACTAAGTAACTAAGATGTCCCCAACTCACGTAGACTCCTCCCCTGAAGAGTATGACAAGAGGAGGAATGGCTCACGCTGCTCTCAGCTGATGGTGGACCATGGCTGTGAAGGGTTGTGAGTTAGGAGGACAATCCACAGGGGAGCTTGTTCTGAAAAATTGCATTTAATCCTCACCATAAACTCTTTTATTATGTTTGGGGGGGCGGGGTTGACAGGCTCACATGTGGTTCACTGGCCTCCAGCTTCATGTGTAGCTAGTTGAGGCTAGCCTTGAACTCCTAATCATCCTGCCTCCACTTCCCCTTTGTGCTGGAATGACAAGCATGGGCCATCACGACTATTTTACCACGGTGAAACCGAGGACCAGCGAGGCTATTTTGCTGTAATCCTAAAGCAGGGATTTGGGTCTTTTACCTTTCAAAGTATATTGGCTTCCACTGTGTCAAAGTTCTTTACCGTGTGTGTGTGTGTGTGTGTGTGTGTGTGTGTGTGTGTGTGTGTGTGTGTACCTCCCTTATAGTGCTGGCTACTTGGTAGGCTCAAACCAAACAAACAAACAAAAAACCCGAACAAGGGCCGGGCGTTGGTGGCGCACGCCTTTAATCCCAGCACTCAGGAGGCAGAGGCAGGTGGATCTCTGTGAGTCCGAGCCAGCCTGGTCTCCAGAGCGAGTGCCAGGATAGGCTGCAAAGCTACACAGAGAAACCCTGTCTAGAAGAACACAGAGAAACCCTGTCTAGAAGAACAAACAAACAAAAAATAACAACCCTGAGGTTCAAGACCTTTTCAGGCAACCTGACGGTACAGATGAGGCGTAAGGATGAAGAAAAACTACATTTCCCAGAAGGCCATTTTCTAGAGACGGCAATGCGCCTGCGCCGGCCCCTCCCCTTTAGCTCCGGCTTCGTGGGGGTATTTTTCTCGCGCCTGCGCCCTGAGACCAGTCGGCTTCCGACCCCTCTGTTACTACTCCGGACCAGAGTTGGTGACTGGTCCTGCTGTGACCTCTGGTAGCGATGGTACCCTTCTCTTTGCTTTGGACCACTCGGGTAAGGACAGCGGTATGGATGTTGGATGGCCAATGGAAAGGCCCACCCCACTTTAGTTCCTTTTCACAAAGTGGGGTTCCCCTGGCTCCTTCACCGCACGTGTTCCGGGGCCTCGGGGAGCGGATGCTTAAGCAGGAAATCCCTGAGCCTCCTGGGTGCACGTGCGGTGCCTGGGCCCAGTCCTGGCTCCTAGTCCTGGCGATCGATGATCGCCCCTTTCCCATGCTTCAGGTAAAGTTCCGCAGACCCTGTGTTAGCAATGTCCCAGCGAACAAGTGGGGTTCCCGGCTCCGATGTGCTAGTTTTAATTTTTCCCGCCAGCTCTGAGCTGTGGAGATGATGCAACCGGGCCTCCGTGCTTTCATCAGGCAGGGGTCCCGCTGCAGCGTGGGCGGAAGGAAGTAGGGAGGTGCTCAGTGTGTGTGTGTGTGAGAGAGAGATAAAATTTAAGATTTTGGCTTCTCTCTGGACAAACACCTTCCCTCTACCCCCACTCCCGCCAGTACACAACTCTTCCCAAGAACTGCTTAAAAGTCTATTCTACTTTGGTTGCTTTGGAAACTACCCTACAGCCTGTGGCATTAAGCCCTGTTAATTTACTGTCTTCTCTCTGAAGTAGTCTCTGAAGTAGCCCTGCTCGAGGTCCCCCCCCCTTTATGTTCATGAACATTTTGCCTGCCTGTATGTATGTGCATCTCATGCGTGTCCAGGTACCCACAGAGTTCAGAAGAGGGCATCATTTTCCCCTGGAAGAGTTACAGATGGTTGTGAGCTGCCATATGGGTGCTGGGAGCTGAACCTCTGTCCTTTGTCCTGTACAAGAGCAACAAGTGTCCTTAACCACTGAACCATCTCTCCAGGCTCAGGAAGGCCCTTCTGGGTAGACCCTGGAATCTAGTCTCTCTAGTGAATTTGGGGGACATGGGTTTGGGGGGGCACAAGCTTTGTTGTGTGACCTTGCAGGGTAACTCACATGGTGAGCTGGAGATCTGGATGGGGGGTTGAGTAGAGCTGATCAAAACTGCCCTTTGGATACTGATCTGAACCTTGACTCTAGAACTTGCTTTTCAAGGTGAAGGTGGGGGTGGTGAGAACTGAATTGGCTAGCTGGACCAGGCTGCCTGCTTAGCCAGAGGGCTGTCTGTACCCATAGTGAAGGGTGATTGGGAGAGGTCTGGACAATTTTTAATCAAATCCTGGCTCTTCTGCTCTAAGCCTCTGCAGAGATGTGGTCAGCTGGTCTGGATGGCTGCTCGGGCTCAGCACAGTAAGGTGGCCCGGACACAGGCTGGGGAAGCAGCTGGAGGCTGGACAGGCCAGGAGACTTTGGCAGATAGTGACCCTGAGATGTGGGAGCTACTGCAGAGAGAGAAGGACAGGCAGTGTCGTGGCCTGGAGCTCATCGCCTCAGAGGTAGGGAATGAGGATATGGGCCAAGAAGTAAAATACCAGGAAATAACACATCATCTTACTGACATTTCTCCTGGGCCTTCTCCCTCTTTGTACTATCCCCTGAAACATTAAGCAGGGCCAATCCAGTGTATGGGGCTGGGGCGTTAGGGAGCTTCTGGAGCCCCTACAGTTTCATCTCTTCCTTACCTCCTCTTGTCAGAAGAAAGAGGAAACATGGGTTGAGTGGACAGGTGGCCTTCCTGGGGCCACCCATCATGGCTGTTGAGTTTTTGAGAATGCTGCTTCTGGTCCTGCCTCATGCCTGGCAAAGAACCCAGAGTGTACAGAGCTTTTTATGCATCCTGTCTCCACCCCATCCAGCCTGTGGGCTCTGGCAGGGATGGGACTGTGGGAGTCCAGGGCAAGGGGCTCATTGTCTTCTGACATTAACCCCCACCACTCCAGAACTTCTGCAGCCGAGCTGCGCTGGAGGCCCTGGGGTCCTGTCTGAACAACAAGTACTCGGAAGGTTACCCTGGCAAGAGGTGAGGGCTAGATCAAAGGGCTGGAGGGCAGCATCAGGGATGGCGCTCCTAGTGGTGGAACCCGCTTAAACCCCATTGATTCTTATGGAGCAGTGGCTTTCCCAGCCCTTGGCTTTTTCTCTGTGCCCTTATGTACCCTCTCCATGGTAGATATTATGGAGGAGCAGAAGTTGTGGATGAAATCGAGTTGCTCTGCCAGCGCCGGGCCTTGGAAGCCTTTGACCTGGACCCTGCACAATGGGGAGTCAATGTGCAGCCATACTCTGGGTCTCCAGCCAATCTGGCTGCTTACACAGCTCTTCTTCAGCCCCATGATCGAATCATGGGGTTGGACCTACCTGATGGGGGCCAGTGAGTATGAATAAATGATGGGTTTGATGGGCAGTAATGACATGGGCCAAGTGTTATTTTTTTTTTAAAGTAAAACCTTTTTATTTAAACTAGAAACAAGATTGTTTTACATGTCAGTCCCAGTTCCCTCCCCAACCCCCCAACCCCCATAACATTCCCTTTCTGCTCTCCAAGGAGGGTGAGGCCTTCCATGGGGGGGAATCTTCAAAGTCTGTTATATCATTTGGAGCAGGGTAGACCCTTTCCCGTGTGTCTAGGCTGAGACAGCATCTCTCTTTGGGAGTGGGCTCCCAAAGTCCATTCGTGTGCTAGGGATAAATACTGATCCACTACCAGAGGCCCCATAGATTTCCCAGGCCTCCTCACTGACATCCACATTCATGGGGTCTGGATCAGTCCCGTGCTGGTTTCCCAGCTAATGGGGTCCATGAGCTCCCCCTTGCTCAGGTCAGCTGTCTCTGTGGGTCTCTCCATCCTAGTCTTAACTCCTTTGCTCATCACTCCTCCCTCGGGCCAAGAGTTATTAATACCTATCAGGTCCTGGTCCTGTGAAGATGGACCGCGCCTGTCCCGTGTTGCAGCCCAGGAGGCAGGACCCTAGTACCCAGCACGGGGTGGACAGAGCTGGAACAGTGTTCCGGGGATAGACGGGCCTGTGGACGTGGGCGGGAAGTGGCTGGGTCAGTCGTTGTTTCACTTGGAGATCCCTTTTCCTTCTAGCCTCACTCATGGCTACATGTCTGATGTCAGACGGATCTCTGCCACATCCATCTTCTTTGAATCTATGCCCTATAAACTCAACGTAAGTGTCCTAGGGTCTGGGCACTTGGCCCTTAAGGTTTGTTCTTGGCCAGTGGGAGGTCCTGGAGGTCTGGGCAGCCTTCAGCGTGAGCTCCACCTGCTGCCACCTCCCGAGTTTTAGCTGGTTGTCTGTCTATCCAGCCCCAAACTGGCCTCATTGACTACGACCAGCTGGCGTTGACTGCTCGGCTTTTCCGACCACGGCTCATCATAGCTGGTACTAGTGCCTACGCCCGTCTCATTGACTATGCCCGCATGAGAGAGGTTGGTGAGGGGCTGGAGATCAGGGTTGGTGGGACTGGGAAGGACAGCTCTCCTGTGTACACCTGTTGGGTCTTCCCCGGGCTGAGGCATGCCTCTCTACCTGCCCAGGTGTGTGATGAGGTCAAGGCACACCTCCTGGCAGACATGGCCCATATCAGTGGCCTTGTGGCTGCCAAGGTGATCCCGTCACCTTTCAAGTATGCGGACATTGTCACCACCACCACTCACAAGACTCTTCGAGGAGCCAGGTCAGAATTCCCCCAGGTTAAGACCTTGCTAGTAAACTTGGATGGAGTGAGGTTGACCACTTTAACCACTGGGACCCAGTGCACCAAGCACAGTTGAGGGGATTCGGAGCCTCTGAGTGTCTAAATCGGCTGTCTCCCCTCTCCCCATCACTTGTCCTTTATTGGCTTAGATCCTGACCACTTGTCTTCCACGTAGGTCAGGACTCATCTTTTATCGGAAGGGAGTGCGGACCATAGACCCCAAGACTGGCCAAGAGATCCCTTACACATTTGAGGACCGAATCAACTTTGCTGTGTTCCCATCCTTACAGGGGGGCCCCCACAACCATGCCATTGCTGCAGTAGCTGTGGCCCTCAAGCAGGTTGGGGGGCCTTCCCTTGTGTTGGGGTGCATTGTTCCCGAGGCTTTGCCTCCTTACCTTTTGTGACTGAGACTGATGGAAAGGGAAGTAGCTAAGGCGGGAGGCAGCAAGGCTTGCTGAGTACAAGTCCTAGGCAGGGCACCTACTCAGCCCTGGGGTGACAGAGACTACTGTCTTACCTGTAGGCCTGCACCCCCATGTTCCGGGAGTATGCCCTACAGGTGCTGAGGAATGCTCAGGCCATGGCTGATGCCCTGCTAAAGAGAGGCTACTCACTGGTGTCTGGTAAGCCAGTGCAGTGGGTGGGTGAAGGCCAAGGCCCCAGGCTCCCCAACACCTGATAACTGTCTCCCTCAGGTGGCACTGACACCCACCTGGTGCTGGTGGACCTGCGACCCAAGGGCCTGGATGGAGCCCGAGCTGAGCGGGTGTTGGAGCTTGTGTCCATTACGGCCAACAAGAACACCTGTCCTGGAGACCGGAGTGCCATTACTCCCGGAGGCCTGAGGCTTGGTGAGATCTGGGGTCTGAGTAGGGAAAGGTTTTCACACTGGGTAGTTTCCTCATGGTGATCCTGATTGTGCTAATGATGTCTCTGCTCTCTCTCCCAGGTGCCCCAGCACTGACTTCTCGGCAGTTCCGTGAGGATGACTTCCGTAGGGTTGTTGATTTTATCGATGAAGGAGTCAACATTGGCTTGGAGGTGAAGCGCAAGACTGGTGAGAGACCACAAAGGCCCCCAGCCAAGCAGTTTTCACCCACTGTCTGTCCGCCCTAGCCCACGGCCCTGCCTAGAGCTCTGACCATCTTTTCACACCTGTTTCTGTTTTCAGCCAAGCTCCAGGATTTCAAATCCTTCCTGCTCAAAGATGCAGAAACAAGTCAACGTTTGGCCAACCTCAGGCAACAAGTGGAGCAGTTTGCCAGGGCCTTCCCCATGCCTGGGTTTGATGAACGCTGAGGGCCCCCTGGAACCAAGGCCCACAGACTGGAAGTTAACTCTTTTTTCTGCCTTCCTGGACCACAAAAATGACATCACTGATCTTTCTAGGTTTCAGTGGAGGGAGGTAGGGAGGGAGAGAGGCCTTCCGTTTAGGGCAAGAGCCAGGCATAAGCTCCTTTCTGGAATTTGTAGCTGAGATTCTGTTTTGTAGCCGTTTCTAGAAGCACCCAGCACTCACCCAGCTTGTTTGTGAGACAGGGTCTCACTTAGCTGAGGCTGGCCTTGAACTGACCTCCATTTCCCAAGTGCTGGGGTTGTAGGTATGCACCATCACAGCCAACTTCACCCTCCCGCCCCAACCCTCTGCCATATCTCAGTGTTACAAGACTCTTGCTCTTTCTTGGGGAGGGGGAGCTGCGTGCTGAGCCGGGGGAAGGGGTGGGTAGGTGCCCTCCTTCCTGTTTTTATCTAATAAAATGCTAACCTGCCCAGAGTTCCTATTACTGTGGGAGGGGGTCCCCTGGGCAAACATGTATTTCTCCTTCCCTCCCGCCACCACAAGGACCCCCGGGGCTGTAGCCTCCTCTCTGTCTCTGATCAGAGCCGACACCAGACGTGATTAGCAGGCGCAGCAAATTCAATTTGTTAAATGAAATTGTATTTTGCCCACGGCTGCTTCTGTTTGATCCCCAGGGACTGAGGAGCAAGGGAAGGGAGGGGTGGGGAAAAGCAGGGAAAGGCCCAGGTGCAAGGTGGGAGGGGGTGTAGTTGATGGTAGGCACAGGCTTGGGCAGGAGAGCATCACACCTCATGGTAGAGGCTCCCCATCCTAGGCAGGCTTGGGAACACAGGACGAGCCCAGTCGAGCCTGGGCGGCCTCTTCCCCTTAAACCTTGCTCAAAACTTGCACTAACGTGGGGCCTGCCACGTCGCTTGGCACTCAGGCTCCTGCCTGCTGTTGGCACACGTCGGACACGCTCAGCACGTAGCCTGTGCCACACCCAGTTAGCCGGAGGGGGGTAGGAGGAGAGGGGCTGCCTCGGCCTTTTGGGTCATCCCAGCTTCTGCCTTGAAGTCTTGGCTCCCCCCTCCCCCCCGTGGGACTCAAGCTGAGGGTCAGAGGTTCTTCCTCTACTGGGAGCAAGGGCGGGGTGTGGGGGTGGAGCTACCTCCCCTCTGCGTGGGAATCCAGCCCAAGGAAGGAAAGGCTGGACATTGTTGCTAAACTGACGCCCTTAGGGTCTGGGGCAAGGAACGGAAGAAAAGCCTGTGATGCATGGGCCTCTTGCTCTGCCTTAGAAGTCTGGCCGATCCTTCTTCAGCTTCTTATAGTCAGTGGAAACAGCAAGGAACTATGGAGAGGGAAGGAGAGTTGGAGTCTCTTGCCTCCCCCCCATTTTTTTTGTTGTGTGGGATACAGATCTAGGGCCTAGGAAGGAGGTGGGGAGGGGAGCACTCTAGATCCAGTTACCTTGTACTGGTCGTTGGGACTCATGCGGTTCCAGGGCTCCGGGTTGTTCTTTCTGTCCCAGCTGTAAAGGGGACAGAAAGGTTAAGGTCTCTCCTGGGACCTGGACACTGGCATTAAACAAACCCTCACCATCATCACCCCTGGTTTCCTACCCCGGGGAGGGCAGTGACAGAAAAGGGGGCACGCTAGCAGGTGCTGGCAAGAAGCATGGTGGCTGGTGACAGAAAGACAGTCTAGCTCATAGATTCCCCAGGGTTCCTGCCTCCCCTGGGTTAACCGCTCAGAGCAGAGGCCTGGGAACCAGGAGAAACCCTGAAGAGCAGGCAGGGCTTAAGTGATGTGCCTCAGACTCCAGGGTCAGAGTGGGTAGGTGTTTTGGCCATTTGCTTCTCAAAGGACGGCTTGATGGCCCTGGCAGGACACGAACTCTCAGTGCTACCAAAGACCCTCGGTAGCCCCACACTGCCAGACCTCCAGCACTTCTGGGCAGGCATAGAGGTACCTAAAAGCCAGACGTGGCCAGTAGAGCCGTGTCGCCATAGCAACACTGTGGCGAGCAGGGCTGGGAATTCCAGATGCCCCACGTGGCTAGCCACTGACAAGTGAGCCACCAGGTGATCCAGACGGGGTGGGGGTGCGGGTGTCTTTCCTGTCAGGCATTCCAACTCTCCAAAACGCTGGGTAGTACGGCCGAGATAAGGACATAGTCCAAGCACCGCATCCCCTCCTTCTGGGGTCACCCATTACCATTATTCCTAAGCAGTCCCGTTTGGCTCCGCCCAGTACCCTTGCTTTCCTCCCAAACCCCGTAGTTACCAGACATCCGGGCTACGCAGTGCGAGTCGCAGCAAATAGAGCCCAGCACTGCCCATGCCCAAGCAGATGAAGCCAATCATTGGGATGAGCTGCAGGAAGAACCAAATGCCCTGAGAGTCTGAACTCTGCCCAGTTCCCACTCACCCCGTGCCAGCGTCTCCATCCCTTTTATCTTCACGAAGGGTCTGGTGCCACCCTCGTTTTTTGGGAGCGAGACCTGAAACCTACAGCCACATTTTCACCATACTCTCCCTTGCCCTGAGGTGATCCTGCCCAAGGACATGGGATATATTGCAGAGATAGAATGTGGGATGTCCCTGGGAGGATTTCGGAGCATTAAGGAAACTAGACAGGAGTCAGGGTTTGGGGGTTCTTGAGAGGCGGGGTGGCAAGAGGGAAGTTAAGAGTCTGGGGACTGAACTCACCCCGGGGTGTCTTTTTATCTGCCGGTAGAAGCGGGCCCCTGAACTGGTTCCTGCCATCTTTCTCCAGTGTCTGGGCTCCGGTGAATCTGGTCTATTCCTCCCCCTGGGGTCCCGCCCCCCATCAGGGAGGGGTCAGCCAGCCCCACCCAGCTTGTTTCTTCCCAGCAGTTCCAGGTCCAAACAAGGCTGGAGGTAGTTGGAGGAGTCTTGAAGTTTCTCCTTCCCAACTCTCTCCTACTGATGGGGGAAACCCCGGCCCACCGGTCACCGTTATACTTGGGTCTTTGGGTATCTGAAGGAGGAGCCTCTCTGGCATCCAGAGACTGAAGGGAGATCCACATGGGGGACTGGCAAGCAGACAGCCCTCTAACGAAATGGGGACGTGGCGTGTCCACTGGAGGGACCAAGGAACAGTGACGGCATCTACAGCACTTTTTCTGCACTCAGACCCAGAGCTAGCAGGCCTTGAGAACAAAGTTCTACCTCAACATCATGCTTCGGAGAAGGGGGGCAAGTGAACATTGCTAGTGCTTGCCAGCCCCTCTTGTTCTGGGTAGGGAGCAGTTAGGGGTGCAGGATGTAGGTCTGTGAATCTCTGAACTGCTCCAAATGTAAGACAGTGGTTGGGGCAGTTTAGGGACTTGAGACACTGAAGCTGGAGCTCTCTCCAAGGAGGCCACCACACTCATCTCTGGCTTTGGGATTAGCGCTCTGAATGAAGGAAGCAGACTTAGAAAGAAATAGAGAACAGCCAACTCGGGTATATGCTCTATTGCCAGGGCAGGAAGTTTCCCCCACCCTCCATCTTCGGAGGACTGGTTTTGGGGACTCAGGAGGTGAGTCTCATCTCCTTCTCACTCCCATGTTAATTCCCATCGCCCCCTCCTGCTAGATCCTGCGAAGCTCCCCCATCCCTCCCCTAAAGAACTTGTCCTATGGTGGGCACCCACTGGGATGAGCTGTGTGCCCACCACTGCCTCCCTACGACCCTTCCTGAGGGGCCCCTCCCTTTCTTACACACCGATACCTCGCCCGCCCCTTGAGCTGACAAGCTCAGCTGTAATTAGGCTGCGGGGTCCGGGCTCTCCGCCTCCCTCCGGCGGATAATGAGATAAAGTGTCAGAGACATGGCGAGAACAAAGAGACAGAGACTCGCTGAGGTAGGGGTGGGGGTGGGGTGGAGGAGGGGGGCTGATGGGATGTCAGAGCCTGTAGCAGAGCCGGGCCCATCAGCACCTCTAGGGCTGAGCCAGGGAAGATGTGACCTGTCATCAGTACCCCCACCCCCAGCCTGGGCCGCTGGGGGGTTGGGGTGGGGTGGCGCTAAATACCAATCTTGAAGCTCTAACTCCAGCAGCTGCCCAGCTGGGCTGCACATCTGGTACTCCGTGGTACAGTTGGGGAGCTAGGGCTCCGGGAGGAACGTCTGGCCTTTGCTTTACGCCCCTTTGCTCTTGGGCCCTCGCTTGTTTAGTTCTGGTGACCTAGGCCTGGGGACTCCCAGAGCCTGTCCTGGGACCTCCACTATTCCTCCTCCCTTGGGTCTCCAGGCCGCTCTTGAGCTCAGTTATTACATTGTCACTTCTGCTCTGGCCTCTCCGCGATTTCTCGACGCTTCATCTGCTCCTGATCCGGGTCTCTGTGGGCCTATCTCTGAGCCCCCTCCCCTCCTGTGTTCCCATATCTGGATCGTGGTCCTTGGGGTTTCAGATCTGTCCCCATCTCCTTCCCTTCACTGTCCCTTCCCTACAATAACTCAGGCCGTGCTGGCCCAGCAGGTGAGGGACAGCAGGAGTCGTTAGCCGAGGATTAGGCACAACCCGCGGTCCCAAGGGGACCAGACTCTTCAACTCTAAACCGCTCCAGGATACTAATCCGTATGGCTGGCGGCGCAGCAAGTCAAATGCAGCTGGGCTCTCCAGAAAGAGCAGATTGCAGGGGTCCGTGGGTGCGGGCGCCCTCTGGAGGCCGAGCGGCTCTCAAGCTCAGGGAAGAAGTCTCGGGCTCCCCCTGTCGGGCAGCGCCTGCTCTGCACTCCCAGGGTTTGCTCGTTAAGTCTGCGCCTGCAGTGTGCATACACAGGTCTGTGCCTGGGGGCTTACTCGTTCGTGCAACCAAGGTAGTGGGGCTTCTCAGCCTCCGCTCTTGTGGCGTAGTCAGAGGACACAGATGGGACGAGGACTCTGTCTCGCCAGGTGTGGACAGCAGGATTCAGGCTGGATTCTCTCTCCAGGCTGGCCTCACACACTCGGGGCTTCATCTGACTTCGCCTTCCCTAGGCCCCAGGTCGACCTTTTTTCTGCTTCCTTCTTCAGACTGTCTCTAGCTCTATGTTTTAGGGTATGTCTGCTCTCGACCTAGCTTTGTCCTTCCGTGTCTGTTTCTCTGTGTCTCTCTGTCCCTTTACACCTTGCGGTGGTCTCTCGGTCTCTCTCTCTCTCGGTCTCTCTCTCTCTCGGTCTCTCTCTCTCTCGGTCTCTCTCTCTCTCGGTCTCTCTCTCTCTCGGTCTCTCTCTCTCTCGGTCTCTCTCTCTCTCGGTCTCTCTCTCTCTCGGTCTCTCTCTCTCTCGGTCTCTCTCTCTCTCGGTCTCTCTCTCTCTCGGTCTCTCTCTCTCTCGGTCTGTGTCTCTCTCTCTCTCTCTCCCCACTGCCCTTCCCTCCGCTCT